ATCATATGGGAAAATATCAATGAACAAATTGTTATCCAATACATTTTTTTACCAAATTAACCAAACATTAATATGATATCTTAAAGCTAAGATAAATCATGTTCTTACAATTTCATAATGTGGAAAAATTCCCGGAAAAGAAAATGATTTGACTCTAAGCAATGAAACAATCTGTGTTATCAAATTCTCTTATTGGGATTATGTTCAAGCATGGTTTAGGGCATTTTCTAAACAAAATGACAATTTTTCTATGTCTTACTTTTTCTATTCGAATGATGATTTCAAGTATCCAACTCCATTTTGGTTTCACCAATGGTGGAAAAATTATGGATTAGACAAATCTGTAGTACCGAAATTTGTTTTTAATGCTTATGAACAATTTAGAAAGTCAACAATTATGACGAAGTTACTTCTTCCTCACCATACTGGTTTGTGTCACGTCACAATTTTCAAGTTCTTTGGATTTTCACGACAAAGTGTGGTTATGAACAATTAAAATTTGATGATTTCACCGTACAAACATTAGTTTGTGACACAAAATTAAAATGGTGGTCAAAAATAAATTTTGACAACTAAAATGACGAAGTAATTAGTAAGTTCATTTCACAATACCCAACAATGAACAAAGCCTTCAAAGTAGCATCCCAAATTGCTCCAGCAATATAAGAGACGTTAGAAGATGGAAATAAGACCCAAAGAGATCAAAAACCCATTTCAAGTTCAAGGAGTTCAAATCCAGAAGCTTTCCCTATAAATAAGAGGATTCACTGCCTCATAAGACCTACATATTGCTTTCTTTGAAACTTTTCAATCTAAATTTATTTTAAGTCTTCTTTTGTAATCGTTGTTCTAGTGTTTGTATCCTAGTAGAGCAAGCACTTGGGTATATATCTATTGTGTAATGCAATAAATTAAAGCTATCTCTATTTCAAATAAGATTTTCTAATGTTCTTATTTTATGTATAAACAATATTTATTTTTATGTTTGAATTTTTCTTTCTAGTTTCATTTGTTAAAGTTATTTGTGTTTTTTTTTAGTCTTTTTCCTCTTAAATTAATTTTCCATTTTTATGATTATTTACTGACCAGTATTTGCTTGTGAGATTTTTTGTCTTTTGCATCTTAAATAGTGGATTGATTCCATCCTACTTCTAAGGTTGCATTACACTATTTACATCCCTAATTGTGTGAGATTTATATTAACTAAGGATATATTGATGAGGTAGCTAAGAGAAGCACGAGTGTTTGTCGTTCTTTAGAGATTGGGGTTATGACACGTAGTATGCAATCACAAGCAACTGACACTAATATTAGGAATTTTTTTATAAGCTAAGCAATTCACAACACAAATAGAGCAATAACAACTAAACAAATATGGTTAATACATACAAACAAGAATTAATTTAAACACAAAATGGGGAAAATATGAATTAAGCAATGGTGCATTATCTTCTAGATGTTTCAATAACATATGGGATTAGGGTGAACAACTAACCAAGGAATCAAATGGGAATGCACTAAGGAATTCTAGTTTATATGCCGAGTTAATGCTATCTAATATCCTCCGAGTATAGTGATTTTGCCACGTTTAATCCTAAAGTTTTAAGTTAATCACATGTGCTCCTCCAACTTTTAAATTTTAACCAGCTGAGAAAACACACTAAAAAATTACGCCGTTGAGAAGTCCTCAAAACTCATTCTGAAGCTCATCACTTCATCTGAAATTTTATCGCTCCTTCCGTTGCTAAAAGCTCATTGTAGGCTTCGTCCAGAAAGAGCACAAATGGTGTGTTATAAACACACCATTTGGTGCTTGTAATACATAAAGCACCTTGTGTTTAATCCTCAAAGCTTAAGCTAGTTAAGCTTAATCACAAAGTACCACACCATTTGACTCTGATCTATTTTTTTAGACTGGGTCTACTTTGATAATCTATTTCTCATTCACCCATTATACATTTTGAACGTACAATATATTAATTTCTTCGTCTTACTTAGAAGAATCCGAATATACTTGACCTGACTCAAACCGGGAACGGACTCCACATATATTTGTACCAACACATGTAAATATGTTTTACTTTTTTTTTTTTTTTTTTAGTTTTTCATTTTTTATTTAAAAATGTTTCCAATTAACAAACATATTCACTATCCTATATATGTATGCGCTCTCTAAATTCTCTCTTTTCTAATGTTTGTTTAATGAACTTACAAAAAGAGATAATAAGAAATTGTAGGAGGGAAAGGCAAAATGTTGATGTGCAAATGAAAGGTTAACGAATGGGGTATTTTGGTCCATAAAATGTATAATAGACGTATGAAATTATGAATCGTAATCGGTAAATTGTTACATTATTCCATTTGTGGGGGAAATCTTTGAAATTAATGAAATTAATGTGTGGATTCATTTTGTTAACATTTTATGTTTCGATGTTCCAAGCATAATGTTAAAACAAATCTTTAGAGTCGAGCCCTAACATAATTTAATTGGTCAATCAAACTAAAATAAGTTAAGCGTTGCTTTGCTATTTGAATCCTAGCAAAAAAAAAAAAAAGGAAGAAAGGTATGGACAGCTGGACACTAATTTAATTTGCAAGCATTTGAGGATAACTATTTGATACTTTCTCCACTACTTTTTGCTTATCATATAATTTACAATTTAAATTATAAGCATATAAAAGTTTTAATATTGATCTTATGTGAAAAAATCCGTAAATGACAACCATATGGATAAGTATAATTAAGTGTGAGTTGATTTACAACCTCTCACCGCTCTGTTGGGCCGGGATGTGGGAGGCCCTTAGGGTTGGGGTTCAGCCTTTTGGAATAATAATTAAGTGTGAGTCGGATGAGTTTGGACGGATCAGTTTTTTAAAAGCTTAACCTTTTTGATTTTCGGTTTAAATCTTTAATATCCAATCCATTAAAAAAAATTGTAAATCGGATTTTGTTCCTTTTCTGATTCAGTCAAATATCTCGACATTTAATTCCAAATCAGACTGTAAAATTAAGTATCTAAAATGGCTAAAAGTAATAATTAGCAAGGAAAATAACAAATTAACAATTGACAGTACAAGTATATTTTAATTCTCAAAATTTCAAGGCAAAAATAATAATTACAAATTTTTTTAATACTAAGGAAATTAAACATTTACAAATTACAAAATATAAATTACATATTTATAAAGGATTAATATTTGATGCACCGTCGGTATATAGATGCTATACACTATCGGTGAATGAGGAGATGACACATCATTAAAAAAATAAAATCAATATTAACCAGGTCCTCTTTTTTTTTTTTTTTGCAAAATATCTAAGACTTGAATTGTTTTAGGAAACTCTTTTATTTCTAATTAACAAAATATATTTACTTTCATAAACATATTTATTACTTACTAATTATCTAATTATTAATAATTTTGAATTAATAATAATATCCCACCGATGAACCTGTTAAAACCATTTTTTTATTTGAAAATCTGTTAAAAGCATTCTAATATACAATTAGATTTCTATTCTTTTTTGGACACTAAAATTAAAGAATTCTAAATTAAGAATTGTAATTGATATGTAAAAATAAATTTCTAAATTATTATATTTATAATTATGAATTTTTTAATTTTAATTAACAAAAACCATTGAATTTTCTATATCTATTTTTAACTTCTAAATCTATTTAAACCCCTAAATTTAAATTACAACCTTAGTCACTATTAGAAACAATTGTAACATCTTGTAAGAATATATATATATTCAATAATGTAAAAAATCAACACTTAATCAAATATTATGTAATAGTCAAATTATATCTTAAAACTTATTAAAAAGTTAGAATGTAATACACTCACAACAATATCGAATAATGTAAAACATTAAATTTGCAAACTAGCTAGGACGATGAAACATAAAACGAACCACATTTCTCATGTCTTCATTGTTCTCATCAAAACCAGTTCTTTTCATTTGTCCCATTTTGCGATTGTTGTCCATCAAAATTAAAGTATAGCTTTTTAGAGTTTACAAATAAAAAAAAAAATTAAAAAAAAAATCAATAGCTTACAAGAGAATTTCAACAATAAAACCATAGATATAAAAAACAACTTACCAAAAATAACTCTTTACTAATGGAATACTGATAAAGATTCTAACCGAGAGAAAAGATTGACAGGTTGGGTTCTTTTGACAGAGAAAATTTGGATTTTGATTAATATATATTCTTACAAAATGTTGCAATTGGTTCTAATAGTAACTAATGTTGTAATTTAAATTTAGGAGTTTAGGAGTTTAAATAGATTTAGGAGTTAAGATGGATATAGAAAATTTGATAGTTTTTATTAATTAAAATTAAAAAATTCGTAATTATAAATATAATAATTTAGAAATTTATTTTTACATATCAATTACAATTCTTAATTTAGAATTCTTTAATTTTAGTGTCCAAAAAAAGAATAGAAATTTAATTGTATATTAGAATGCTTTTAACAGATTTTCAAATAAAAAAAAAAATGTTTTAACAGGTTCATCGGTGGGATATAATTATTAATTCAAAATTATTAATAATTAGATAATTAGTAAGTAATAAATATGTTTAGGAAAGTATATATATTTTGTTAATTAGAAATAAAAGAGTTTCCTAAAAACAATTCAAGTCTTAGATATATTACAAAAAAGGACCTGGTTAATATTGATTTTATTTTTTAATGATGTGTCACCTCCTCATTCACTGCTGGTGTATAGTATCTATACACCGACGGTGCATCAAATATTAATCCATTTATAAATTAAAAGGCTAACAAAAATTGAATTGGAGCTTTTGTCCCTATTTGCATTTGAAATTAAACCATGCCTCTTGAAGAGCATAAAAACTGTTTCATAATAATTAATTATGTCACAATCCGTGTATTGCACGAGTAAAAATATTATATATTAATCCCATGCATATGATAAATAAATACAGATGGAAAGACCAGGAAAAATGAAGACAAAATTCAGAAGCTAAGAAAACCCTGATTCATTCATTGTCCGTCTTCACTAAATATATATGTACACTTCTGAATGGTCCTGCTCCAACTTCCCATTAAATTAAATTAAATCTTCTACGTACTAAAAAAAAAAAAACGTAACCAATTAAGACGGGACAATAGTGCCGAGGTAGCCCACTCCTGCAATCGTAAAGGTTATGACTTGGAGGAAGAGGTATATATAGTAATGGTTCTTCCCATACAAAAAGTCATACACTCCACAGAAGAGCAAGAAAACTGCAAATCCCAACTCCTGAGGCAAAATCCTGCACCAGACCACAAAAAGATAAATCAACCTAAGAATCGAGAATCCAACTCTAACTTAGCCATCTGAACTGGTAAAACAGCCTAAGAATCGAGAATCCAACCCTAACTTAGCCATCTAGACTGATAAATCAGCCTAAGAATCGAGAATCCAACCCTAACTTAGCTATCTGGACTGGTAAATCAGCCTAAGAATCGAGAATCCAACCCTAACTTAGCCATCTGGACTGGTAAATCAGCCTAAGAATCGAGAATCCAACCCTAACTTAGCCATCTGAACTGGTAAAACAGCCTAAGAATCGAGAATCCAACCCTAACTTAGCCATCTGGACTGGTAAATCAGCCTAAGAATCGAGAATCCAACCCTAACTTAGCCATCTGGACTGGTAAATCAGCCTAAGAATCGAGAATCCAACCTAACTTAGCCATCTGGACTGGTAAATCAGCCTAAGAATCGAGAATCCAACCCTAACTTAGCCATCTGGACTGGTAAATCAGCCTAAGAATCGAGAATCCAACCCTAACTAAGCCATCTGGACTGGTAAATTAGCCTAAGAATCGAGAATCCAACCCTAACTTAGCCATCTGGACTGTATCTTTAGCCATTTTGATTGAGCTACGTACCTGTCTCTGAATATAGACTTCTTCTTTGGCGCAGGTTTGGCGGCGTTGGGTTTGTTTTTGTTGTTGTTGTTGTTGATGGCGTCTCCGAGTTTTTCAGTGACGACCCATTCATTGGCTCGCTTGAATTCGAGTAGACCGATGATGGTGGCCTTGGTGCGGTGGAAGGACATCACGTTCTCGAACAAGATCCAGTAAAACAACAAATGGATCGACCTAGGAGTTCCCACCGAGTTGAGGATTGTGACGATGCAGGGAATGTAAATGGCTCCCCATTTCGGGACGTCTACTTCCGGCACTAAGATGGTTAAAGGGAGAACGACGCAGTAGAAGAAGAAAGTCACCATGTGAGCTGTGATCTTCCGAACAAGGAAGAAGCTGTAGATCACGTACACCTTCTTCCACACGTTCACTCTCTGCATGCATGCATGCAAACGTATAAATACATATATTTATTGATGCATGGAAGAAAATTAATTATAATATTGTACTATATATACTCACCTTATTTCTAACAATTTCAATGAACATTTTTCTAAACAAATTGGCAGGGCCACAAGACCAACGATGTTGTTGGAAACGGAAGGCCTTGAAAGTACTTGGGAGTTCACTTTTTACCTATACTCAAAAACAACAAAAGAAATAATGTTATTGCATAGAGTATATGGTTTGAACCCTAAATCTAAGAGTCCCACACGTCTCTTCCTACCCTGAAAGACTTAAATAACAGTATATCTTGGTGGTGTAATGTTTTGAGTTTTTGCACTAACCCTGGGGCCGAGCCTGAGTACTCGCTATGGGCACACTGAATATTACTCCAAATTCTTTCAAAAGGCTGAACCCCAACCCTTGAAATTCAGTCTGGGCAATTTCGACCCTTTTATGAAATTAAAGTAGGTAGTGTAGTAATTAATTAATTAAGGGGTTTCTTGAAATACATGGAGATCTCCAAGGTAGAGGAATTTCCAGCCCTTAAGACCAGCTCGGACAGCAAGATCCATATCTTCAACTGTAGTTCTGTCTTTCCAGCCTCCAGCCTCATTGATAGCAGCAATCCTCCATATGCCACCCGTCCCTAAATTAAAATTATAGTTTTTCGTATCAATAGGGGCAAAAATGATTTGCATGCGGGCATCAGCGTGGGTTGAGGAATAATTAATAAGTACTCCGTAATAATTATTGTTAATTAATTTAATTAATATAGAAAAGAGCTATATATGTATTATAGTTTCACGTACCATTGAAGCCAAAGAAAGCATGAGTAGAGGAACCCACTTCTTGCTCCACTTTGAAATGGTAATCCAAAGACATTTCTTGCATTCTTGTCAACAAACACTCATCCGCATTCACTGCCAATAATTTGTTTTTAAAAATACAATAATAATAGTGAATTAGAAGGTTATAAGTAATAACAATATTAAAGCTTTAATTTTGATGAGTATAAAGTTCGCATAATAAGTTCACATGGTTATCCCATGCAATGAGTGTATACTGTAGTTCTGGATAGTGGTGGTCCCACTATCCGTGATTGATGGAATTTCCATGGGTCCATTGCACCATGGAATTAAGAGTACTCATATATAGAGTAAAAAAAACACATAAAAAGAAAGAAAGTAGTAAATATGACAAGTAAAATGAGACGAAGAAAGTAGCACATATTCGAAGCTTACCAAAACGCCAACGAGCTTGAATGAGGGCAATTTCGGGATTGTGAATCAGAAAAGGAATAGATCGTAGGAGAAAATCTGGTTCGGGCCTAAAATCAGCATCGAAAATAGCTACATATTCACAATCTTGGACATAATCATGCGTCAATCCTTCCTTAAGGGCTCCAGCCTTATAACCACCTCTAGTTATCCTAGTTTGGTATCTGATGTTAATTCCCTTGCTTGCCCACCTTACACATTCTTGTTCCACCATCTCCTACAAAACAAGACGTCAAGGCTAAACCAAATTAAAACACAATTTCAAATCCTTAAAACGTAAATCAATCCAGATTGTCCATAACTGACCAGCTCAAACTAAGGGGACTGGGATTCAAATTCTTGAAACGCATATACCTTGATGTTAACATCAGTAGAATCATCAAGAACTTGAACCACAAGACGGTCGGATGGCCAGGCAAAGTTACAAACAGCTCCAATGGAGATCTTGTAGACCTCTTTTTCATTAAACATGGGGATCTGAATGAGGACGGAAGGGAAAACAGAAGTGCCAATCTCGTAATCCTCACGCATCGGCTCCCATTTGTACCTTTTCTCCGGCTTTCCGCAGAAAATCTTGACCAGAATGATCACAATCCCCATATAAAGCCTCTCCACGAAAAGCATCAGAGACATAGCCAAGCACACATACACGGCCAGCCTGAGCGCCGGAACGATCAGCGGCGCCTTCACCAAATCCCACATCAGCCTCATCTGCGCCGCCACGTCCCCTCCCGGCCCCCGGAGCTCCGGCATCATCAACTCAACCTCATTAATCGCCACCCCCGCCATTATTACTATTTTTAAAAACAATTTACTCCACCCAGCTACTCAGAAACAGAGCAATCGATTATTACTCTGTGCTTATTCCTAATTTAAAACGCCAAGCAATACTGCCCCTTTGCTCAGGATACCGAGCAGTATTGTGGCATTGTGCGTATTGCGCCGCGATGAGAAAGGGGGTTTAGAAGAAAAATAGATAAAGGGTGAGAGTAAGTGTAGGAGGCAGGAGGGTGGGAATTTTATAGTAAATAAGTTTGGTTGTTCTGTTTTTCTGGATCACTCACGATGAAGGTTTTGGTACATAAGAATGGAAGGTGAAGAGCGAGATTAGGAGAAATGGGATTTGTGGAGAGAGTTTATGATTAATTCTAACTCCATTGGATTATAAAATAGTTTGGGAGGAGTGGAGTGGACGTATATGATTATATGAGTAGGTCAACCAATGCACGCCATTGATTGATTATATAAGCAGGATACAACAATCTTCGCTATACTTAAATAACAGTTGTAGACAGTAGGTTGGGCAATATACTAACAATATATTATTTGTGTACTAAATAAACATTATTTGATATTATATGTAAAATAATATACTTTCAGTACCCAAATAATATATTTTATGTGCACAAATAATATATTTTTTTTATTTGTGGTCATACTGTGTGAACAATGGTCACAAAATAATGACTCAATAGACCGCCAGCAGCCTTGCAAATTATTTTGTAGACCAGTTGTCCACATGTAACCACCATGAATAAATAAATATTTTTAATATACTGAATATACATTATTTGAGTGAAAGTACATTATTTTGTAATATATAGAGTATCAAATACTCCGTAATATACATTTATTATGCAAATAATATATTGAGTTCTACTCCATAGACTCTCAAATCATACTCCCTATATTTTACTCACTGATGTGGCGGGCACTAATTGGATACTTTTTCATGTGGGTCCCCATACAAGTTTTTACATCAAAATTTTGCGTGTGGGAGTAAAAGTTAGAAATAGAAAATGAGGGTACATGTAATATTTTCCTAATATATTTTCAAAAAGGAGAAAATTGCATCTTTGCTCCCTAAGTTATACTCAAGTTCCGACTCAGTCCCTGAGTTATGACCGTATCCATTTTTAGTCCCTCAGTTATGAACGAAGTTGCGCATTTGGTCCCCAACCGTTAAATTGACGGAAAAAATTAAAAATATTTAAAATTTGAGGGATAAAGTAGGAAATTCACATTTTATTTTTCTTATTATATCAAAACCACTTTCACAACATTATTTTTTTCACTTCTTAGCCTCTTATTTCAAGATTGTTCAATTCTAAAAGCATTTCAATAACTTTAGTATGACTTGTTAGGAACTTGGCTCTCGTATAACAAACTTAAGATTTTGCACAAACTTAAGATTATCTTCAGACATGTGAAACACACAATCCCATCAATTTTTAATTTTCTTTATTAAGCAACAAAGGTAATCAAATCAGAACTTTTGAGATACAAAATGATGTCAAATTTCTTAAGTTGCTTTTATGAGAAGTTCACCAACAGAATAACTAGAGATTTTTAGTATGTAAAGTTTTTTTATATACAGTAGTTTAGTCAATAATCGTTTTTAAAAGTTACAAAAGTTCCTAAAATTTTCACATATATATATATATATATATATATATATCATTTTTCAGAAGTCATTTTCCAACTTTTCAAACGGACCCTAAGATAAATTTCATATACATCAAATTCTTTGTATATGATTTTTTGTACGGCTAAAAATTAGTCAAGCAAGATTTAAATTTTTTTTTTTTTGGTTTTTTCGAAATTATATTTCGTGGCTTTTGGTCTCTGTTTATTTTGTGGCTGGCCGACGTTTCCCGTCCCGGTGTTCGGTCTTTCCGGCGAGCTCTATTGGCGGCAAAGCAACGGCAGTAACGACAGGACGACGCATCCCCTCCGGTCGCCGGTTGCCATGAGCAACGCCGGCGAGTTTTTCGTGGGCGATGGCGAGCTTTGGGCGTTGACTTCGCGTGCGGTGGGCGGCGTTGGCGGACTTGGAGTTGCGACGAGGAGAGCCGGCGGAGGCGAGCTGGATTCTCCTGCTACGTTGCTGCCCCTCCCCTCCTTCAGGCGACGCTGGACGACGCGACTTGGGGCGGCGGACGGCGGGCGGTGTCTTGACAGCGAGGCGAGGTCGCGACGAATGTTGATCCCTCCCCTCCTTCAGGCGGCAATGCAGAGGTGCACGCATCTTCTGTTCATCGCAGAGATCGCCGTGTGGAGAGCTCGCTGCTGCTGCTTCTCCGATCAGTGCCGCATGAGGTAAGGTTGTTTTGGCTTTGATACCAAATGTTAGATATTGTGAGCATATATCCATTAATGTGCATCCAACTATAAGCTTAGGCTTTTAGTTGAGATGGAGCACATGCTGGTGTTGGTTGGAATCCAACGTAAGCTTAGGCTTTTAGTTGAGATGGAGCACATGCTTCGTCGTGTTGATCTCCAGTCATAATTGATGTTTTGCCTCAGACCTGACTGAGTTTGGTTGACTAACAACTACTAGTTATTAAGCCCGTTGATGTTTTGCCTTAGTCAGGCCCTAATATATATATAATATATATTATTAGGAAAAATCTTACATCTGATACTGAAATGCACGCTGTTCTTGTGACTAGAGTCTTCCAGTCCAGTCATTGAACCATGATGTTGGAATCGTGATGTTCCAAACTGATCCCCTATATATTTTGAAACATATTTCGAAATCCCCTAACCTCTTTTGGTAGTTGATGTTTGCTTATTTTTGCAGTTTTGATGGTGATCCTGCTTTTGGAACCTCTTACGGAATTGAAGCAACTGTACTGTTGACTATTGGAAGATTGCTTTGAAGGAGTTTTTTTTGGGTGAAAGGCTTAGTTTGTTAATGTATATATAGATGATTTGGTTGGTTGTGATCATCTGTTGATTCGTGGAGTACCACTTGGATAATTCAAAATCTAGAGATTTCATTCACTAATAATTTCTTATCTTGATTTTCAAGTTTTACATTGTACTATCTGTTTAATTATACATTAAGCGTCATTTTGTAACTGCAGTAAAATTTAGTTTGTATACATTTCTTAGTCTTTGTTTTGTCAAATAACAGCTAAATGGGGAGATTGTTAGTGCTATATGTTTTTACCACATTGGTAATTGGCTTGGTTATTATTACAATTATAAGAGTTAGTAGAGCTTTTAGGTGTTTAAGTAGATTACTGCTTCAAGAGTTACTCGCAAAGAGGAAATGTATGCTACAAAGAAGGAACACTAATTGACTCAACTGGGATAGTATTTCTATAGGGCGTAGGCCTCCCAAAAGGTAACGGCGGCCTGCAAAGGTTTCCTCCGGCCAGACAGAGATTGACCCTCGAGTGCAAAGGCAGAAGGGATTTCTGTTTGAATAATAAGTAGAGTTCATAGAAGGTATAAAATTGCTTTAGATGGAGGGTTGGTTTGGCCGCAATACTTCTTCGTGAATCTCCAAACAAAAATTTTACAAGAAAAGTAATCTCGAGAGGGAAAAAGCTATCTCTTCCCTAGCTCCAGTTTCCGTTCTTAATAAATTAGCCGGAGCAAGCAAGACATTTAATAATACAATTCAAGTGTACCATCTTCTTTCTCATTTCGAGGAAAAGGTGTGGCATATCCAATTCCATTCCGATAAAAAACTTGGAGGTATGGTTGGGTGAAAATTGAAGATTGATTTTGAGCACACTAAACACTAACCCAATCTTTCAAGTGATAACAGCAAATTAAAAATATAATTCAGGACGTTTGATTTAATCAAGTCATCGGAGAAATGAAGCATTCAGATGAAAACCCAAAAAAAAAATCAAATAAGTTAGATTCTCTAACTGAATGTAAGCGCTCTCTCAGTTCATAGAGCTTAGGTTCGTGCGAATCAAGAGTCAAAGAACAAAGTTTGGAGAAATATTCAATAGAGATGAACAACGAATTAAGAGAAGTTCTAATTGAAGATAAACTCACAACTCTCAACTCTTAATCTAGAAATTTAATACGAATTGAAATTCAAGGCAAAGTATTCAATTGAGATGCACTAAATTGTAGCTTTGAAGATTTTGTGTATGGATTACACAATTAGGCATTAACACCATTAGTAAAATTGTGTTGCGGTGAATGAATCCGAGAAGAATAGTTTGAATGTCAGTCAAGATGATTTACTTTATCAGTCTTAAAAAGTGTTTAAACAGAGAGACCGAATTCTTCTACGATCGAAGAAGGTGTATCACTTGGTGACAATGATCTTACCGTCTTTGTTTGGATTTATGCACATAATGGAATGAGTATTCACTATTTGGTCCTCCCCATTTAGGTGAACTAGTACAATCAATTAATTAACAGTAATTGAAATTAGTGTACAACAACAACAACCATGTTGATGGACATTTTGTTTTTATATATTTATTATAACAATTTAGTGTACACAAAATGAAACTCATCTCATTTTTTTCTATTATTAGTTTTTAACTCTTTTCTTCTTTTATGGTAAGAATTTAAATATAATAATATTTACTTAATTTGGTTTGTTTCTTTCAACTATATATTAAAAAAAATAAAAATTATTATTTTTTGAATTTTCATCCTAAAAAAATATGAATGCCATAGTATAATTATTTTAATAATACATTGTCTTATCTTTATTTAAATCAAAACTTAATTGTTGTACCACAATTCAAATTTTAATTTTTATTCTAAATATGTATTGCTTTAATTAAAATTTACATTTTTTACAAGTTGATCTACTCTGTATGAGACAAAATTTCTTTATTTTAAAAATTTAAATGCAAAAATTTCATTATCTAATCAATTTTATAGAAAAAAAAATTTCAAAATATTAATGAGTGTTTACAAAATACATTCAATTCACATATAACAACAACCAATGCCTTAATCATATACACAAAAAAAAAAAAACTTATAATTCATATGATATAACTTAATTGCATAACTCTTTAATTATTATTCGACAAAATTAAGCCTATTATAATCATTGATGTGAGCCAAATTATACATGTTTCTAGTGTTAGTTTGGGCATAATTGTTGGGTTCGAGTTAATGAAAATGTTACTTTAAATGAACATTCCATTGTTTTCTCATTAAGATATGATTTTACACTTGTTTTGTAAGTTTTACGGTGTTTGTTAGTGTTCTGGAATCATTATTGATCAATTGCAAAAGTAAGGAAAGTTTTAGGACGAGTTTGAAGCCAAAACAAAGTCTAGGTGAAGCTAAGGAGCTGACTAAAATGCTTCAAAGAGAGCCAAAGAGTGGTACTTTCAATTGATTTGATCACAAGAACAAAACAAGGGAAAAGTTGAGCAAAAGACCAAAGAGTTGTAATTCCCTCTAATTTGGCGACACCTTAGTATTTTGATCATATCCCACAATAGGAATGTCCGATTCAGGTGATTCTTGCGCCATTGGAAATAAGCTAGACTCGAAGGGCTACAACCTATGACTCAGCAAAAAACTCGACGCATAAGAAAATTTTCAGTGAAGTTTCATCACTTTTCAAAAGATCAAGATTCTCGCACAGATTGGCGACAGTTCGGTTTTTGGACCATATCTCAGCCTATAAATATCTAAATGAAGTGATTCTTGTTCCACTGGAAAGAAGACTCGAATTGTTACGTTATTAAACATCGGGAGATGGTAGTAGTTAGGATTTTATTTTGAATGCTTGTTCTTATATTATTGTGTGTTTATATTGCGGGAGCGAATATTCATTTGTTTTAGGTTAGAGATTACGGGGTAACTCTTTCCCTTGTTGCATTCTCACACTTGTTTAAACTCAAATTTAATATTGCACATTAGATTGACACTTGGTGATTAAATACTTAATCCCAAGAATCTCATTCTCTCCCTATTATTTTCACAAACTTGCTACTTTGTTTTCTTTTAATTATTTTAATCAACCATTCATGATAATCTGATAATCATTAGGATTAGCTTCACAAGAATAGATTAGTAGCTAGTGCTTGATACGCCCACTTCCCGTGGATCGATAACCCGATACTTCGAGTAATTATTTGTTTGAGAATTATACTACAATCAATCATGTATTCATGTTATCTTGAACACAAAAATATGTTAAGTTTTACTGACTTATCAATATCACATTAAATAGATTTAGTTTATTTTAATATAAATTTTTTATGACCTTATTTTTATTCTTGACTATAACTATCTACAACAATACTCATCTTTTCTATTACTTTTATTATAAGTTGAAAATACACACATTAATTATATTGAAAATAATCATTTTTAGTTTTTATTAATTATTTAATATTTAAAAATTTTACTAAGTAAATTTTTATTTTAAATTTTATGTTGAACATTAATTTAATCGCGTAAATTATAACGTATTATCCTTATAAATATGCTCTATCATATAATTTGCCTGCTAACTTACTCGAAATAATGAACATAATTACTTTGAAGTAAAAAAAAAAAATATTTCAAATTCTACATAAATTTACGCCATACACCGAATCACCGATGCACACCATGTGACTTCTTTCTTACCACTATTTGCTTTTCCTCTCTCCCATAGATAGCAGACTATTTATAGCATCTGTCTATTATTGGAAGGATGTGGCTGTTATACACAAGCATGACTACATTAATATATCAAATTTATAATTTTAATTAGGAGAATGCAAATCCATTTTAACTCAATCCAAATAAACGTGAATTCCACTCAAATTAATATATACCTCAAAATTATCCTATAAAATATCAATTTATGCTACGTTCTTCAACACTAACAGCGGAGGCCAAGTCTAGCAATTAATTCTTCCAAAAGGCTGAACCCCAACCCTAACAGGGCGTTTGGTTGGAAGGATTTTAAATTCCTTCCCACTTAATTCCCACCTAATTCTAAAGACCATTAAATTCTGTAGTTTGGTTGGAGGGCTCCCCCATTTTCATGGAATTAAAATCTCATGTCCCCCTGGTATTTTAATTCTTGGGAAAAAAAGATAGTGATGAGTCAAAATTACTCATTCTTTTTTTAACCTAAAATTAATGTCTAACAACAATAATGGACATTTTTGACTTTATACTACTTATTCCCTTTCAATTCCCATGTATACCAAACATTGGAATTGAAATTCCCAGTAATTCTATTCCTGTCAACCAAACACCGGAATTTAAATTCTCACTTTATTTCCAGTAATTCAACTCCCATGGAATTACAATTCCTTTCCCACATAATTCCCCCTTCCAACCAAACGCCCTGTAAAAGTCTAGCAATTAATGATTAAGGGGATTGTTGATGGAAGCTAGTAAAAGACTAAATTTAGCACTCTGCCTTTCAAAAAATGTGATGGCGGTTAAATAAGGGAATAAAATTCGTCCTGAGCTACTAGCTATATCTTTTAGCGTAGTAAGAAGCGTTTGACCCTAACAAGTGGTATTAGACATATGTCACAGGTTTGAGTCTTGTTCATCAATGAGTGACTAGTCTATATTAGGAAATAAAATTGTGTCTTCGCTATAGTTTTTGACGTAGTGATAAATGCTTGATCCTATACTATCACGTAATTCAATGACGGTTGCAAATTATAAGCTTAGTATAGCTCCGTTATTTTTATGGAGTAAATTTTTGTGGTTTCCTGATCGATTTTGCAAGAGAGACGGAATCTTTCTAAATCTATAAAAGCTCATCTCTAGCCATCTTCAAGTTACAACGAATAATGGGATCAACTTTGCTCACCCCCTCGAGTTGGCTCATCAATGCTAGCCATCTGATCGGAGAACAGAGGTATCTTCAGGGAAATATATCTCTACACAAACTCCGATCCAAACTTTGATGTTTGCATGTGGAATTACATTAATTAATTTGAGCATTTTCTTTTTCTTATTATAATAAATTAGTCCGATTTGTCCTGCGGGGAGCAGCATCACGACGACGCAGAAAGTGCTGCTAAAAACTTATCCTCCTACTAGTCCATTGGAGAATGATCTTGACGGTATATAATTTAGCTTCAACTCTCTAGTTATAGTTATAGTTAAATCACCCATCACGAGGCTCAATCTGTAACCATTCATTTAGAATGGTAACAGAAGTAGTATCACATCACATAATAGTTGGTCGTTAATTAAAGAGTTAATTTCATTTTTTTATCATAGTTTTATAGGTGTTAGTCAACTTTTAGTGTTTTTTTTTCTTTAATTAGAATATTCACATTTAATCATAATATTATTGAAGCATGATCATTTTTGATCTTCGTCAACAAAATTGTTGAAATGACGTTAAATACAAAGATATTTTGATCTTTTGTTTACAAATTAAGTTGGTCCGTTATATTTTTATTTTTACTTTTTTAAAGAAATCTCTATTTGAAGACTGAAATGTCCTTATATTTATGAAAACTTAAACGATTTTGTGATAAAAGAACAAAAATAGTTATGACGCAATAATACAAGGACCAAAAGGGAATGTTTTGCCAAGTACCTTTTGCTCAGATGACATGTAGTGACTCCTCCCACGTGGGAGGTCATGAGATCGAGCCTTAGTTGAGGCGTTGTTGACTCTGAGTCAATAGCATTAAAAAAAAGGGGAAAGTTTTGGAAAAAAGGTTTAAAATAAAAAATGGCTCTTAATTTTTTTTTTTAGTACTACTAACTCTATTACATTGTAATAATTCTGTTCATCTATACTTTCTCAACCTGTTGAAGCACAAAGAGTTAACACCGCCTCCACTAAAGCTCAATCTCATGACCTCCTATATAGGAGAGTCACTGCATGCCATTTGAACACAAGATGCTTGGCAATTAACTCTTAATTAAATTACCGTTAATTTTTTTTTTTTTTTTTTTTTAAGACTCAGCCCCTATTTTGTTGCAGATTATGGAAGCATTGGGAATGCTATTCCACAATTAGTGGTTACTGGCATCATCCTTGCAACCGCAGTGGTACTCTTTAAAAAGAACTTTATTGATGGCCCTGGATTTTGTCGTGCTTGTTGGACGTTAATGTTGTTCGGTAGTGATGTTCTAGGTTCCACGGAAGTTAAGTCAGTAACTACCACGTTAATCACAATTCACATAGGTGTGAATTCGCTTGGACTGTCGTACTGGATAGTTTTAGATGTTAAGGAGTACAAAAGGAAAAAAACATGGCCTTCAATGGAGCTACTGTTTGAAACTGGAGTGTGGTTTTTTATGTTTATTTTGAGTTGGGTTGAGTTTATGTCAGGGAGATTGTTGAAGGGCACAGACTATTTTCAGGTATATTATTGGTATCCAATTGCAATAGCTCTTTTTTCTATGATTGAAATGTATTTGACAAGAAATACGGAAACTGGTGGAGATGAGTTGAAATCAGAAGTGATTGGAAATGGGGAAAAGGCCTTTGATGATTTTGTAAGAAGTTGCTTGAAAGAACCTCAAAATGATAATATAACTAAATTCGATCAAAAGTTTGATGAGTTCATAAGGATGTTATCTACTTTAGTAGCTCAACGGCAGGAGGCTCTAAAAATAGCTGAGCAGAAGGAGGCTCCGAGGCACCGCAGCAGAGTGAAGTCCAAAACTAATAATAATGATCAGGAAATCGAATCAATGGATCTCTAGGAGATTTGCCTGAACTTCTCATTTGGTTTTTTTTTTTTTTTTTTTTTTTTTAATCTGGAATAATTCTGTTTTAATAGACTTGTGCATACCTTTATGAGTTTATGGGATGTTCGATTGTAAGGAGGGCATTAAGCAGGTAAAATGTTATAATTGCTAAAACTTTCAATTATAGCTAGTATTTGCATGCAAATTGTAATAAAAGTAGTATAAAGGCCAAAAAGTAATATAGGTATTGGATCATATGAGAATATGTTTTAAAAGAAAATTAATAACTATTTTCAGCCTTACACATTGAAAAACCAAACGAATTGTATCGAATAATAATAATAATAATAATAATAATAATAATAATAATAATAATAATAAAGTATTGAAAAAAAATGTGGTGTCATTTTGTAATTATCACTAATTTTACTATGTAAACTTGAACACTAAAATCTACACTTATCAAAAATTTTTAAGTTTGCACAATTAATATTAACATATTACACATTTATGGGGTGTTTGGTAGAGTGTAGTTGCAATTCAATTGCAATGTTTTTCTTTGGCTACAGAAATTACATTGTTTAGTAGGAGGGACTTACAATTCCCTCTTTTTGTGAAATTGGGATTCATACGTCTCCATATAAATTGTAATTCAACATGGAAAGGAAAGGAAAAGAAGAAGAAAAAGTCCATTTTGGCCTTGATTATATTATCATTATTATTACACAAGGCCATTTTAGTCTTTATATCACTTCTCCTCTTCTGATTCTCAATAATTCTATTCCTTCCTACCTAACAATAATGAAAAAAGATAACGGAAGTTATAACGGTAGGGGTATGTTTGTCCAAAATATTTTAATGTACAACCTTTATAGCATAATGTACAAAAAAACTTAACGGAAAAAACGGACATAAATCAGGGGTATAACTTTCATTCACACTTATTATGTTTTTAGATACTTGATAAATAAATATATAACATCATTTTGTATTATAACTTTGATATTTAATTACAAGATAGTGTAAAAAGAAGACAATGGACAATATAGTGAATATAATCAAATGATGTATTTGAATGTAAAGAATCTTTGCATTTGAGAAAATAAAGACGATATAACTAATGGAATTATTATTTTTATTTAATTTATTGATAATGAATAATTTTTATTTAATTTATTGATAATGAATAATTTTTTTTTATTACAAAAGAAGGGGGATACCCATACAAACTACGCCTACAACAAGGCTCAAAACCTAGACCTCCCACATAAGAGAGCAATCCGATACCAATGGACCACAAGCCACTTGGTCATGAATAAATTTTTTTGAATTAAGACATTGTAGACATCTAATTCTAAAATAAAGAAATGCATATGCATTATTTTTTTGTTCTAGCTACTAATTTATTTAATTTAATATACGTAATAAAGTAGTGAACTTAATTATGCTAACTTTGATTGGAATGAATTTGGAACCTAAGATCTTCCTTATGAAAATCAATGAGTAAGTTAAGAATAATAAGTAGTTAATGGAATATTCTGTTACTAATGTTTACATACTGAAGGAGTGTATGAGTATTTAAGAAAAGTAAATAATATAATGAAGGGTAAAATAGGAAAATAAAAAAAATTATTAAAATCAAAATAATCTGAACCATTCATTTTATCAAATAATTTGACGGGTTAATGACCGAGTTGGTCATTCGACTATTGCGAAACTATGGATTTGATCCTTGACTATCATCCTTACCAAATTAAGTCCTCAGATTTACAATTACTATGTGGTCTAATGATACCCGGATTTGACTTCCATTTAGAAGATTCTGAGTTCAAGCCTCACTGTATGAACATATACTACATTGTAAGCCAGTAGCCAATTTATGCCCGATTTCGTCCTTGTTCACTTGACCCTTAAATGAGGCCTGTCAGATGATCACTCTCCGTTTCGTTTTCTTTCTTTTTGCTGATCTGCTCGTTGCCTCGTTCCCCTTCTCCTTCTTTTTATTTCTTTCTCTTTCTCTTCTGTTTTCTTTCTCGGAAAGCCATCCACAGTAGTCACTGCCACCAACTTCTATAACTATAGTCATAGGCAGAGCAGGTAAAATGCAGTAAGGAACTTTCATAAATCCATGCTCGTGTTCGTTTGTATGTATGAATATAATATATATTATTTCTCAAAGAGAAAGAGGGTTGTTGGTTATTCTCTTCGATTACGATGAAATCAAGGGCTGGCAGGGATAACATTCCCGAACTCCGGCGCCCAACTCTCTGCATAATGCGTACTTCATTCCCAGAACGGCGGCCAAATCAGACAGCAGCTTCATCATTGTCTAAATGAAGGATAATATAATGTAAATACTGCAAATTAATAGCACAACGTCCCTGTGTGTATTTACATCACGGTGTGCAGCAGGTGCGCGAAACTAAGATTATTACCACCTTTATCTTGCATGCTTAACCAGAGGAGGTCTCACAAGCAGATTTTCAGTGACCCAGCGCGACGGGGAGAAATGAAAAAACACCCCTAGGCAAACTTTCACCAAAACAGAAGAGATAGAATACACAAATGTGTTATTGCCACAAGAATTAGACGAGGGAATCCGACAGTTAACAGATGGAGCTTGGATTGATACATGCCTAGCTGGTCACCGGGCGGAAAATTGATCGCCGAAAAATGAGACGGCGATTATCCAAGCACATTCACTTGAGTACGAACGTCCTCGGTCGTGGATGAAGATTCCAACGGAGCAAGGAGGGTTAATGAGCGCTGCATGATTTGTTTACACGAACTCTGGTTAACAGGGGTTACGTATACCCGCGCTAATGTGTGTATTTACATTACTGCCCTTCATTTAGACGGGTGCTTAACGGTCAAAATAACGGATGACGAAATCGAGCAAAAATTGTAAAATTGAGGACTTAATTTGGTAAGAATAATAGTCGAGGGTCAAATAGGTGGTTTCACAATAGTCGGAGGATCAAATTAGTCATTAACTCTAATTTGACGTACGGATATTTTTTAGTTCCAATTATAGGCCTAACTTTATTGATTATTATTATTATTATTATTATTATTATTATTATTATTGAACAATTGAGCAACCTACATTTTCCCCATTATTATTATTACTAGTTTTACACGCGCATTGCGGGAATGAGTTAATGCTCAATGTTTATAATTAAATAAAGGGAAAATGGCACTTTTTCCCCCTATGTTATATACTTATAGCACTTTTTCCCCCTCAATTATTTATGTAAGCACATTAGCCCCCTCAATTATTTTAAAAGTGGTGGTTTTCCCCCCTAATATATTAAATTGACATTTCTACCCTTAAAGTAAACATTTTATTTATTTTACTTCTCCAACAAATTATTGCGTATATGTAGCGATTACCACGGTTCGGTTCGAACTGAACCAGACACTATAGCAATCGAATTAAAAGTTTTCAGTTATGATTCAGATCTAGAACCCAATATTTGGATTTCAATTTATTAAATTTAAGAATAAAAAAAAACTAGATCATGAACCAGCGGTTCCGGATCCCGTTCGCGATTTTGAACCGTCTTTATTTTAAAATTTTATTTTTTATTTTAAAATAGTTTAAATTCAACAATAAATGTATTTTATTTTTTCAGTTCGGAACATGAACCGGCCATTCCAGTTCGCGATTTTAATAAACTCTAAATATCGCGTTTTGATTATAAATTGTAATTGGAATATTTTGGTTTGGTTACTATAGTATCTGGTTTGAACCAAATTATAGTAATAATTTATTGGAGAATAAAAATAAATGAAATATTTATTTTAAGGGTAAATATGTCCATTTAACATTTCAGGGGGAAAAAGAGCCACTTAAATAATTGAGGGGGAAAAAGTGCTATAAGTATATAACATAGGGGAAAAAAGTGCCATTTTCCCTTAAATAAATATTTGAAAGTATATGTTAGGAATAAATTGTAAATTTTGATGAGTCGAATGTATTTTTGAAAAATCACGTAGTCCCCAATTTTATTCTATTTTAGTCATTTTGAGTCTACATAGTATGGTGCACCCATATCATGCAACCCATGTACAAGTCTGGAAGATCATAATTTATTTGAAGAAGTTAAGCGGGATTTTAGCTTAACACAATTATGATGCGGATAAGTCACCAAGAACCATGCTAGAGGAGTTGGATGATACGTGTGTAAGCTATGCCAAAAGGTCCTAAGTTCCCCAAGAAGGAGACTAGCTAGCTTGGAGTCTAACCAAGAGGGATGGGAGACTAACCCCAAGAAGGGGACTAGCTAGTTTGGAGACTAACCAAGAGGGAGACTAGCTAGCTTGGAGACTAGCTAAGCTAGCTTGGGAGACTAACCAAGAAGGAGACTAGCTACCTAGCTTGGAGACTAACCAAGAGGGAGACTGCTAGCTAGCTTGGAGACTAACCAAGAGGGAGACTAGCCAGCTTGGGAGACTAATCAAGAATGAGACTAGCTACCTTGGGAGACTAACCCCAATAAGGAGACTAGCTAGCTTGGGAGACTATCCAAGATGGAGACTAGCTAGCTTGGGAGACTAACCCCAAGAAGGAGACTAACCTCAAGAAGGAGACTAACCAAGTTGAATGCACAAGTCTCACAGAAGCCATGCACCAGATGAAGAAACACACCAAGTATGATGGACCAAGTACAAAATCGAAACAGAGCATCTCACAATGAACAACAATGAAGTTTTTACAGAAGGTTCCAACATATTATTTTACAAGGATCATGAAGGAGAAAATAAACTGATATATTTTCATCTGAACATCAATCTTTTACGGTGGAACCGGAGACGCTCGAAGGAGGCTGATTCACGGAGATATTGCTTCATACTCAAGCAAGAATCAGCAGATATATTATTTGATCAACTTGATATGTCAGAACATTTATGAATGACAAGAAATGTCAAGCTTGCCGCGCCGAACTTATTCAAATCTTGGAGGCTACAAAATTCAAGATACGGCAACGGGCAAATTATTCAAATCATCTGAC